TGCTATTGAACCGACTAATCTTAGGGTGACCACTTGCTTTGCAGATGACCCGGAGTCACCGCATTTGAACCTCCATGGCTCACAAGGAAACTTTTATTCCTCCTTGAATTTGAACTTGAAATCTCCTAGTATTTTTGATCTTTAAAACCAAGATCAAACCAATCAGACACCACCTTTATCGGTTTATATTTTATTATATATAAGATAGGGTTTGTGACTATTGAATGTTGTGGTCATCCCCAAACTTGTGCTCCCCACACGCTATCTTTTTTCATGACAAAGTTCCTTGGTGGAAAATGAGTGGGAAGTTTCTCTTATGGGTGTACTTACGAATACCCGTGCATGATGACTAGTTTTTAAACCTGATTATGGAAAACTTGATCTGTAAATATCAGTTTTTTGAAAAAACAGTCTAATTTTAAAGTTGAAAATTAGGTTTGAATAAGCTCATTTGGCATAAATCAAGCCTTGACCGATCGTTTCATCATTTTTTAATAGTAGAAAATTGTTTAAGGTATATAAAAATCTAGTTTGTGCGGGTTATTTTGCGGTTTGATTCAGGTATTTGACTAGACTATCGTCCCGAATAAGGGTTGCTCCTGATCGAAATTTTCTTTTCTTTAACAGACGGTCTCAGTCTCATTTGTGCATCTCTACTTATGGGCTTCACAGATTCATAGGTATGGCTAAATAATTACATGGGTAGCTAGAAATCTTGAGTACTTCTACATCATATCAATTGTAAAGTTTCGCAATCAATAACCACGAGGGTGGTGTCTGATTGGTTTGAGCTTGGCTCCAAAGATCAAAAATATCAGGAGGTCTCATACTCAAATCCAAGAAGGAATAAAAATCCTCTTATGCCCACGGAGGTTCAAATGCGGTGACTCCGGACTATCTGCAAAGCAAATGGTCGCCCTGAGATTAGTCGGCTAGCATAGCAGGTTGGATATCCAGGTTAATAAAATAAAAGTTCGCAATCAAGTGTTTATACTTGACCTAGCCTAATCAACTTATAGCAAATGTATGTTGTAAGCTATGCAATTCACAAGTTTGGCTTTTATACTGCTTTAACGAAATTACGAGTGATCTAATATGCGATGAATGTAAAAGGGTTCTAAAACCTCCAATTTTCTTTTAAATACGAATCAATATAAATAGAAAAGAGATAACGTCTGGTTAAGAAAAACGAGAGTTGAAATGTTTTAGTATTTGATATGTTTGGTACATGTCAGCTTGATGCTTCTATTCAAGTCAGATGTTTTAGACACATACAAACTCGCAAGTGGATTCATGTAAATGGTTATTTAGATCGTCTTTTACGACTTTATCCACTTGTTAAATATGTCTTCTTATAATTGTCATCCGCATGTTTGTTTTGAAGAGGTCAAAAAGGTCCCGCTCTTGTTTTTATCTTAAAACAAGTATACAAAGTTCAAAAGGTATTGCTATGATTATTTCCAGAAAATTGCTTGAAACAAAACACGTTTAAGTTCATATGACGGAAATTGTGTTTCTAAAACTCAAAAAAGAATGTCAAATTTTTACTTTTTATCTGCTCAAATGCTTGCCAGTACCACCTCAATTTGATATGATTTGAAGATGTAACTGTTCAATATTATTTGGTTCGGTTTAGCCAAACGAATTAAAAGGTTTGGTCAAACGATATTGCTTTTAACAAATTATGTGCATGACGAAAAAAGCTAATTCAAGGAGGTCTCATGTTCAAATCTAAGGAGAAATATAATCCCCTTGTGGCCACATAGATTTAAATGCGGTGACTCTGGGCTATCTGCAAAGCAGGTGGCCGCCGTGGGCTTAGTCAGCTCGCATAGCTAAATGACATCCAAAATCTCTAATTCTTATAATATTTTCAAACATAAATAAAATTGACAAAAATATAATATTCGTTATTATAATCAAATGTGGAAAATAATATACATGATTTCATGTAAAGATAACAGATATTGTACATAATTTTAGTAAACTCAAGGTTCCAAATAGCGTGAGAGTGAGACATGGCGTGGCGGCGAGGTCAAGTCTTAGCCTTAGAAGTAGCGGCGAGGCAACGACATTTTTCAAAACGTGACTTATGATAACAAATGTGTATATCATATATAATATAATATTATATATATATATATATATATATATATATAAACCTTTATTTTCTACTACTACTCAATGAGTTAATGATATTAAGCATTTTAAATTATGTTATATATTAAAAACAAAAAATCAAGACACTAAAAGGGTTAAAAAAAATGGTGTTATGAAAATCAAGCATTGGACCACAGACATAACGTAGCGTGAGACACAAGTCTTAAACTATAACACGGCATAAAAGCTATTGCAATGAGCTTTTTAGAACAGTTATAAAAATTAATGTTCTTGTAACATGAGAAAAAAACTTGCCAAAAAGTTATCTAATTTTAGATTTCTATTTTACATTTAATATATTTACTGTGAATGCTCAACTATGTGTTTTTTTCATAGTGGTTTATTGAAAATTATACAAGAAGAAAAGCCATAATTTTTTTATCAACATGGATATCCAACTCGTTATGCGGGCTGACTAATCCTAGTATGACCATCTACTTTGTAAATAGCATGAAGTCATCGCATTTGAACCTCCGTGACCACAAATGAATTTTTATTTCTTCTTGGATTTGAACCTGGGACCTGCTGGTACTTTTGACATTTGGAGTCAAGCTCAAAACAATCAGACACTACCTTTATAGTTGAAAAGACATAATTTTTAATAACTATAGAAACAAAAAAGAGAGTTTATTTTGATCTAAATTACTTTAAACAGTATAAATATTGAATTTTAAGTAAATTAAATTTCGCTCATCAAGTCGACTTTAGAAGGAGACAAAGCCATGGCAGTTACTTTTGTCCTTTTATGTCATTTCATTGTTGTTTTATGAGAAAAAGTTGTACAGAATATATATTTTTTTATTAACCTGGATATTCAACTTGTTATTTGCGTCGACTAATCTTAAAATGATCATATGCTTTGCAGATAGCCTGGAGTCACCGTATTTGAACCTCCGTGGCCACAAGAGAATTTTTATTCCTAATTGGATTTGAACCTGGAACCTCTTGGCACTTTTAATCTTAGGAGTCAAGCTCAAACCAATCAAACACCGCCCTTGTGGTTATATATATAATTATTATAAATCAAACAAATCAATTAATTAAAATATTTATAAAAATTATGAGGGTTTATTTATTATAATCTGAATATTTTAGAAGGTGATTAAAATTTATTAATTATGATCAATATTTTATATTAGAAACAATTAAAATATTCATGAAACCACATACAAATTCATGAAAATACATGGATGGTTGAAATTGCTTTATATGGTTTGTAGCAATAAGTAGATTTATATAATAAACCACCTTTATTTTCTATTGCCGAACCCAACGCCTACATTGCGTTTACGAAAGTTCACAAGCGGCTAAGGGCTTTTTGACAATTGCTGAATGATTTGATGCAAAATAATTAAGTGGTCAGAATGATTAAGAGACTCTCATGATATAGTGTAAAATGAAACATAATTGTTTGGTAATTGTGTACAATGAAATTAGGGCTCTTAATGGTTAAGGGAGATCCATGATTCAAAATCATTCAAAGGGTTTTAGAACTATTAAGAGACATATTTTTTTTTTGTAAAACAAGATTCACCTCATAACAATTCCGATATTACCTTTTAATGAAACTACTAGTTGTGTACCCGCGCAATGCGGCGGGAACCATGAATTTTAACTATTTTGAAGTTCCACTGGTTTTATAAGATAAGATTTAACGATGATATAGGTTACACTTGGTCTTTACATATTAATACAATTTGAATAAATAAGAGTTATGGTTCCAATTACAGACTATTGATGAAAAAAATTGTATGACGGTTTAAAATCCAATATTTTTAAAATCCAACATATTTAAACGACTCCACAAATGTATTTGTTTTACATCAAGAGTAAAGAACCAAGAAACTTGAGTTTTAAGATAAACACTCAAAACCAATAAAGAAAACTACAAATTTGACAGATCATTAGCTATGAAAAGACAAAAAAAGATGGGGTTTAGAATGAAATTTCAACTGCTTACCCTCTTTCTTGTCCAGAAACTCAGATTAAGGTTGAATTAATACATGTATATATATATTTCAAAAAACCCAAGAACATATTAATTCAAAACATATTACACAGTGCAATTTGGACAGCCTAATCCCAAAATATATAGTATATATATAAATAAATAACTATAAAAGTATAAATCGTAAATATTAAAAATATTTTGTCACAGTATATAATATATAATAATATAATTAAGTTAAAAACTATTCAATATTGGACTCATTTCGAAGGTATTAACGAGACGATTATAATGGTGTAACTTGTTAAAATAAAAATGTATTTTTTAAATATGTTTTAATTGATATACGATTATGTATGTTAATTTGATAAATGTTTAAAATGAAACATTTAAAAGTAAATGACATAAAGTAAATTAATTAATTAATTATAGAGATATAAAGTGTAAATTTAAAATTATAATTTTAAAAAAATCGATTATGAGAGTGTGAGGGTATGTGAGGAGAGAAGGTGGTGAAAAAGTGAGTATAAAGGGTATTTTGGTCATTTAGAATTTTAAGACTTTAAGACTTTTGATAAATTTGCTTTATAAAATAGTATAAATTAAGAGATAAACAAACAACTTTTAAGTATTTATTACAGAAGGAAATAAATCAGTTTATCAAAATCTATTTTCTAAATTTTGAAAAATGAATTTAATACATTTTAAACCATTCAACTTTACAACGAATATACATTCCACTTTACAGCGAATCGGCTCTGTTTCTATTTTTTTTTAATTTTAATTTTAAATATCGAAAAGAAAAAATCAATATGTATGGAAATTATAGCCGTTTTAATGCAGGTGCAAAAGAGGGGTTAGGGTTAGGGTTTTTCACACTCCACGCAAATTCCAAATAGAAATTTTCAACTACTTGTATTATTATTATTTATTTTATCATCGTTTGGAAAAAACGCGTTTGAATTATTGAAGTCAAATACTTTGCAGATATATAAAATCAACCATTGGTTTGCATAATCAATCCATCATCCTCAAAATGACGACTCATGGTATTCATGGCAATCTTCTTGAAGTCACTGGTACGTATGATTGTTTTCGTTTCTGTTCGATTTATACATAGCAAAACGTTTAATGATTCCTGATTTTGGGAGGTTTTTGTCAGTTGCTTTAAGTTTGATCCAGAATTTTGTTTTTCTGTGTTTATACAGATTGATTTTTTCTCCAGAAGTATGTTTGTGTTTAGTTTTAAGATCTAATTTGGTTGTTTGGACTTCCAGTTGTTAGCTGTAACAAACTGAAAGATACGGAATGGATTTCTAGGCAAGATCCTTACGTTTGTGTTGAATACGGTAGCAACAGATCTCGCACACGTACCTGTACAGGTCCTCTTTCTGATCCTTTTTCCTGTTTACATTCAAACGTTTGTTGGTTGATGTTTGAAGATTTCGTCTGATTTTGGTTGTTGATTTGGTATAGATGGAGGCAAGAACCCTACGTTCCAAGAGAAATTCGTATATACACTAATTGAAGGACTAAGAGAGTTGAATGTTAATGTTTGGAACAGCAATACACTCAAACATGATAACTTTATTGGCAGCGGAAAGTAATTTCTCTTCTTCATTCTGGTGTTATCAGTTCATAAATGTTTATTTTCTCAGTTGACTGATATATATTTTATGGGCAACTTATATGCCAGGGTTCAATTGGCAAAGGCTATTTCGCAGGGATTTGACGATAGCACTTGGCCATTGCAGAGCAAATCTGGCAGGTTGTCTAAAACTTCAGTCTCCATATTATAAATCTTTTTCTTGAATCAATCCTTTTAAGATGGTTTCAGTAGAGTGGGTTGTCTTTAGTATGCTAGGTCCATGGACAGTGTGTTAGACAAGCCAAAGGGCCAAAATGAAAACGTTTCATTTGGACGAGTTGGTTGTTTAAGGTGTAGAATCACGTGGCTATTCATCTATGGACAATTTATCGATTAGCAGAAATGGGGAGTGATCTCGTACTATCAAGTTTTGTGGCTTAAAGAAATCAACAGTATCAAGATCATCCTCCAATAAAAAATAGAGGCACTTTTGAAGGATGTTTTCCTCGATGACATTATTCTGGGAATGCTCTGAAGAATATGCTTCTATACACTGATCAGTGATTTAAGTTGGGGAACACTTACTTGAAGATGTTGACTCTTAATTCCTGGTTCCAAAGAGTAATTCCAATTCCACCGGATTGGTAGTTAATGGTGACACGGTTATTGGTCAGCGATCTCTCTTGACTTGGCTGATAACCTCTACATTTAACATGAGAAAGTTGATGGATAATAGAAGTTGACAAGGAACATCTTCCAAAATGCTTGGTGGAAATTTCACAGACCCATTAGCTAGCCGAAGAGAGTGTTGGTGTACTTAAAAGAACCCAACTCAATTTGATATCGAACTAAAGTTGACATAATATTCACTCACTCCCAAATCAAGGAAAGTCTTCTTTACAGGATAAGAGATAGGAATTATAGGTGCCCAAGGGACCAGGTACCAACATCTGAGTTGCCAAAGTCGGAATGGAGCTTGGATACTTTTTTATAAAACCTATATTAAAGTTCTTTCTCGTATTTGAGACACGACTTGAATACAGAAGTATTATTTTACAGTGAAAGTTGCTAAGGCAGCTTCTCACCCAGAAGCTTGAGTGGCTGAGAGAAGCGCCCAGTTGTTGTCATTCCTATAATCTTCGTGTGAATTGTTAGTGATCTGTCTCAAAATGCAAGTGTATCTATAAAAGATAGCTTATTTTATCATGTTAATGGCGAATATTTTTGGAGAAACTTATTTTCTGAAGATGATGATCACTGTATCCAGCTTTCTAATTGAAAACTTATGTCATGCAGGCATTCTGGAGAGGTCCGTATGATCATACATTATTCCAGTGCCCATGTAAGTTTCATTTTTGCATAATCTTCACCCTTTTGACAAGCTTTCTGGTGTCGGTAAATTTTTTGTCATCATGGGTTCGGGCCAAGGAGACTTTGTGCACTAGGTCACCCTTTGGTCATGGATCAACTGCATTATAGCTTTGAACATTTTTAACTTATGGGGTCTCACTGGCTCACTAAAATCATGTTCTTTCATTTATGTGCAGAAACCAGCAAACAATCATGCTCAATCAGCTCAACCTTTTGGTACACCCCAGGCATCATTGTACTCGGCGCCACCACCATCAGTATCGTATCCTCCACCAGCTTCTGCTGCTCCATATCCACCAGCCGGAGGTTATCCTGCACCATCTCCCTACCCCTCCTACCCACCTAATTCAGCTGCTTATCCACCATCTCCATACCCAAATTCAGGTGCTTATCCATCATCATCGTCTCCATACCCACCTCAGGCATCTCCTTATCCACAGCCATATCCACCCAATTCAGCTTATCCTCCTCAACCATATGGATCTCATTACCCCCCTGGTAAATCTTTTATTCATTCACCTTCTGTTTTTCTACATCTTCTCCATACTAATCTTGAATTTACTTTTATGATCAGGTACTCCATACCCACCAGCATATCCTCCACGGTATTGAGGTAGATTTCCTACCCCCATCGAACAAAAGATGCAATGAAACAATGTGTATAACCTGTGCTTCTTGTGGTCGAAACTGTAAATTTTGTTATAGTGGTTTGATCATGGTAGGTCCTTGAGATTTGCTAGTTGTGGCACCGAATCCCCCTATTCCTTTTCGTATTATTTGTAGAATTTGAGGATCCTATTACGTTATGATGCCGTTTTCTAACTCAGAGGGAGGGGGTGACTTTGTTGATATCGTCCGTGGATTGAACAAAGTAGTGGTCCCTATGTAATTAATCTTCAGCAGGCAGTGTTTATGCATTCATATTTGCTGTGAAAATGCTACCGCAGATGTCCTCTTTTTCATCGATGTACTGTAATAAATGAATATGTTATATTCTTTCATTGGTTGTTTAAATAAAATTTTGCTTGTAAAACAAATTTAAACCATTCGATTAAGAATACCAAAAGTATGGATCATATATATATGGCCCTAATCAAATGAGAACTAATTAGTTAGTTTGTGGTAACCGTGTGGTCCAATATGAGCCAATCATTTTATTATATTAATTGTATTTCTCATTGGTTTCTTGTTTGATCAATAAAAGCTTCATGTGGACGTGCTATATTCTTTTGGTGGAGATCGAAGTAGGTTGGAGCTTTGATGTGTAAGGTCTTGGTTTTGATGTGGTTTTTGTTATAGCTTCAATGTGGAGTTCCGCGTCGACCTTCCTTCGAGCAAAAGAAATCAAGAAGGAATATCGAGGATACCTTCGCTATTCGTCTGTGGAAGATGGAGTCGATGGCGTTTTGAGGGTGATCCGGTAAATATCTCCATAGAAAACCCACCTCTTCCCTTGATTTCGGGGATCTGGAGCAGATGGAGGTAGAGAGGGTTTCGTCGACTTGTTCATCGGTTGACATCGATGTAAGGGAAACCACACCGATCCAATCGTCCATTGAATGTTGGATTTTGTCAAACGATCTAATTCGATTGATATTGCACATCCAATCCAATCCAATGGAAGATTATATCAGTTCAATTCCATCKATTGGATTCGTTACCCATTGGATCGGATTGGATCCATCCGATATCCAATGGATGATCAGATCATATCCGATCCGCCCAATGTGTTAATTTAATCTAATTTTCCAACAATGAAACAAATTGGTTGATCACTACCAACACAAGCGAGGCTAAAAATTCGAAAAACCAACACAAAACAAATTCCGATATAAGCAAATTGAGACACAATAATTGGATGATAGTTAGATAATGGTTGGATGGATAACTGGATAATAATCGGACGGATAATTGGATGTTGGTCGATTCGTTTTGGTCGGTTTTGCCATACAAGAATCGATCAATCCAAATTGGATGTTGAAATATTCAATCCAAATTAGCAGTCGTTCTAATTGGATTGGTTGACTTTCTACACATCCCTAGACTTTCATGTGTGTGTTTGCCAGGATTTTTGGGGTGCTCATTAGAGATGTTCACCGAGGTGGAGTTGCGGCGGCGTATCCAGACTCTGTGTGTGTGTGTGTGTGTGTATATATATATATGAGCCTAATCAAATGAGAACCCGATAATTTGTGGTAACTGTGTAATCCAATATAAGTCGATCATTTAAGATAATTAATGTTACTTCTTAAAATAAATTGAAAGGGTAAGCTATTTGTGGATCCAAATTTGGTGACATCTTCAACATTGTGTTAGCAAAATTTGATATGAGTGTCAATTGTTGAACAAATAAGCTACTTGATTAAGTTCATTCAGACAATTGGAGCCATAACGTTCTCGTTCATGTGCTTTTTGTGTACCCATTAAGATACCACACGTGGCACATTTGTAGGAGATGGTGACATTAGTTCTTATACAAAATCTCTTTTGTATATATAACAGAGTCGTTTTAATAACCTTAAATATTTTAAGAACCCTGAAACTATAGTATTCATGATAAATGACGTGATAAATGTTTATGATAAATGAATTCATTATTATTCAATATTATTTATCATGAATACTATATAAAATAGATGGTTTATGGGTTATCAAAATATTTAAGGTTTCTAAATGAACTTACACATACAAAGAAACGTATATAGGAAGGTTCAAATGAGAAGATCAAAAAAATTAAGAAAGTGAGAAGAAATTTCAACCATTAGATGAGATTTTTCAGTGATCGAGATCTCAAGTGCAAAATATGTAAATATAGAGAAATGTGACCAACTTAAAGAACCTAAAAGGTTGAGGTGGCAGTTTCAAACTCATCTCTTCTCTTCTCTCTTCGACGAAAGCTATCAATTTGAAACTCATGACCAACTTAATGTTTCGTTTTATTTTTTGTCTCTGTTGATATAGTACAGTTTATGTAGTTTTGATAAAGATAATGTTTTTAAATTTGAATAAAAATATATTTGAAGATATCATAAAATGTTGAAAAAGTATATCAATATTTATATCAAATTAACTATTTAAAAGTTTTCATTTTTTTGTACAATTTCTTTAATTCAATTTTTTATTATAATTTAATTAAGGTCTAATAGCGAAGTAATTTATTTTTGGCTTAACAATATAATTTCTATAAAGATAATTAATGATTCTGTTAAACTCAATGATTATTCTAATTATAATTAGATGAAATATCTAAATACGATACATTTTTATTAATAAACATAGAAAATTTTGATTTTTATATTGCATAAATAAGAAAAAACGATAAATTTTTTAAACCTCAACTTAAAATAGATTTTTTTTTTTGGATTAGTGTTGACTGATTTGTAGATATATATCAGATAAATTGTATACAAATTTTAAATATTCTATACTTAACTTATTTTAAAGATATCGATAACACTTTTCTAAATTCAAATGATGTAATTTACAAAATGAAATACATAATTTTGTATGTATTGCTAGTGAAAATTATCATTAATTGGTTAATATAATAATGGTACAAAATGAAAAGTGAAAAAAGGTAAGAAAGACAAAAAAAGGAAAAAAAGAAAGATAAATTATTGTGTAATATTTTAGGAGGGACTGAGTGCTTATCAGAAATATCTATATGGACTATCAGAACCAATAGCCTTACCCAAGAGGTCAACCATATTGAGTTAGCTTATCTACAAATGGGTTTGTGTGATGAACTTAAAATGAAAAAGATAGGGGTAGTTAATGTGAGCTTAAAAGAATTGATGAGAGTTGAGTACATGATTAAAAGAATATCAAATTGATCCATCCATTATAATCCGGGCAACCACATAATTTATTAATTCTCAATTCTTTTGAGACTAATATTGAAAAAAGCAAAACCCATGCAACTCTTGTTTAAAACCCCACCAACTACTCATTTATCTCTCAAAAGATAAATGTTTAATTAATATTTGGGGCACGCGGCTCATTATCTATGAGTTTCTCATTTAGAGATAACTGATATTGAAAAAGAAGAATACATGTCCCCCCATTCAAGTCTTTTTTTTATCATTAATTGAGTCTGATAAATTTATGTCCCTCCCTTCAAGTTTTTTTTTTTATCATTAATTGAGTCTGATAAATTTATGTAGTCCACACTGTTTATCTTATTGAGCTTATATTGAAGCATTTGTTGCTTTATTATTTCTGCACTGCACAAATTTTATAGAATATATGTTATTCTATCATAACATTCGTATATACACTTCTTCAAGTTATTTATGATTGAATGGAAGTCCTATTGAGATGAACGTCAAAAATTATCATATATAAAGTACATTCGTTGTACTGAATATATCTATTGTATTCACAGACCAATATTTTTATAAAAGATTGAAAATGGTTTTATAAGTTGAAATCGGAATTTTCTCAAAATTCATAATCTGAAAAAGTTAATTAGACGAATTTGAAAAGATTTGTTTGAATTTCTATGAGTTGGCGGTATACTTTCATAATCATTCATTTTGAGGTATGATGTCAATGCTCCTCATTATCATCATAAGGGGAGTGTACATAAAATGAATGATTGGGGGAGTTGATACAAACTTGAAGGTGTAAAGAAAATTGTTGAAGATTATTGCTGATTTTTGAAGATTATTGTTCTGCTATGATCAAGGGGGAGTGAATGTGAAGATTAGTTCTCATTTGTTATAAAGGGGGAGATTGCTCAAAAGATAATTAATAATTGGGGGAGATTGTTAAAGAGTTGAAGATTGTCTGAAAGACGTGTAAAGAAAGAGTTTTCAAAAGGGAAGATTGTAAAAGTGTAAAAGATCAAATCTGAAGAAATCAAGTTTTCTGAATAAATACTGAAGGTCCTTGCTGTTAAATCTAAAGCTTAAAGATCTGAAGAATTTGTTGTTTTTGAACTTAAATCCAAAAGGAGATATTGTTGGGTTTAAAATGTTGTATTCAAGTCCCGAACCTAAAGTGTTTTAACATGCTTTATAATGTTAGTTTGTTATTTGTTAATGATAGGTATAAATAGGTAGTTGTAGTTAGTTTTCTTAGTTGTACGAAAAGCAAATAGTTAACAATCAAGTGAGAATTCGTAAACGGTAGAGAGAGAAAGAGAGAGAGATTCTGTAATTGTGATCAAGAACACCTGTTTATCAACTTTGACATGCCGACTAATTCAGTTCTATTCTGTGTTCATGATTCTTGTTTGATTTGCTAATTAAGACTTGAAACTGAGATCATAAATATAAAAGTTATAATTGGGATTGTGAATCAGGTTAAGCTTCATAAGTAAAGACGTAAATTCTAACATATATTCACTTGCAAATGTTGTAACTTGTATATGAATCAAGATGAATCAATTTAAGATTCATAATGAATCTTGAAGAATATTATATATATATATATACATATATATAGTCGGGTTCATACGAGAATGTACTTATTTAAAAAAAATAAGAGAATTATTGAATCACATTTGGTTTTATACTAACATCACGTACAAAATCATATGTGATTCACACAACCTTGTCACTTAACCATAAGGTCCTCCACACACTTTTTTAACAGTAATTTTTGATTATTTTTTATATTCTTAAATATGTATCATTCTCGTATTAATCTATCTTTCTCTCTCTATATATGTATATATACTTATATATAATAATACTTTAAATAATTAATTTAAATAAATATCAATTATACTTTAAATAATTTAAATCAAACTAGATTTGGGTAATCCAATTGTCATTTAAAAAAAGAATGTGTATAAATTTTTAAAAAAATTGCGGATCAGTAATTTAATGGCTTGGATTGTTAAAAAAGAATGTGTATAAATTTTTAAAAAAGTCTTAAAATTCCCTCTTAACTTCATTATTTTTTTTTAATTAGGCATAATTTTTTTATATATACATATTTTCTGCTTAATATTTCGATCGTTGAAAAAACTCATCTAATGATTGAGATTTCTCTCACCTTCTCAAAGTTGGCAAAGAAATCCGAAACCAATGGTGAAAACCAAAACTTTTGGGTCGGGTTTGGGGACATCTTATCGGGGACGGGACGGGACGGAGATCGGGGACGGGACGGTTACGTGAACAATTTTAGCTATCGGTTTCAGGAAAAGGGATACCAATACCTGATCCGAATCCGGCTGGTTGCCATTCCTAAAGTTTATGGGCTTTTTATTTAAACATTTCTCTATATATACGGATAATATACAAATAAAATCTTGGAAAAAGAAAACCAAAAAACGTAACCAAATCATTAAATTAAAATAATACGATGAGAAAGGTGGTTAAATATTCTTGAAGTAAAGAGAAGCGTGGTCTCATAAATTCTCTTCCTTTTCCTTTGTGTTTTTTGAGAATCGAGTCTTTCGGTCTTCCCACATACATATATACATATACATATATATATATATATAGAGAGAGAGAGAGAGAGAGAGAGAGAGAGAGAGAGAGAGTAGGCAGACAAACAAGAAAGAAGAACCAATGGATGATTCTGTCTAAACATTGATCAACAATGTCCACTTCTTCACCTTCATCTTCTTCTTTCTTTGATACCCTCTTCTACTGCGAAGAACAACAACCTGCAGATCATCATCCATGGCAGTGGCACCACCAACAGTATTATGATCATGATTTCCTTTGGGAAGATGAAGAACTTGTCTCTCTCTTCACCAAACAACAACAAACTCTCTCTTTTCTCCGAACAGATCCCTCTCTTTTGATTGCTCGGAAACAGGCTGTGGATTGGATCTTAAAAGTCAAATCCCATTTCGGATTCAGCCATCTTACAGCCATCCTCTCCATGAATTACCTCGATAGGTTTCTTTCCAGTCTCCATTTCCAGAAAGATAAGCCATGGATGATTCAACTTCTTGCTGTAACTTGTCTTTCACTCGCTGCTAAAACCGAACAAACTCAAGTGCCATCACTCCTAGATCTTCAAGTATGTTTCTTTGATGGGGTTGTACTGTGTGCTGTTGTACTTGTACCTTGAGTTAACTTATGATTCAAGAACTTTAATGGAGATCTATTGCAGGTGGAGGAGACACAGTATATGTTTGAGGCGAAAACCATACAAAAAATGGAGCTTTTGGTGATGTCGACACTGAAATGGAAGATGAACCCAGTTACACCAATCTCGTTTCTTGATCATATTGTAAGAAGGCTTGGATTAATGAGTCATCATCATCATCATCTCCATTGGGATTGTTTCTTCAAGAAATGTGAAGATATCATTCTGTCACTGGTATCTGGTAATCCATTCATTCATTAAGTCAAACCATTAATTTCTTCTTCTTCTGTATGAATTTAAAAAGCCAAATGGATTGAATTTTTGTTTGGGATTAAAGATTCAAGATTCGTGGGTTATGAGCCATCTGTAATGGCCACAGCTACAATGCTTCATGTCATAGAGGAAGTTGACCTTTTCAACTCTGTTGACTATCAGAATCAGCTTCTGGATGTACTCAAAACCACCAAGGTTTGTCTCTAGTCCTTTCTATTATATATATATATATATATATATATATATATATATATATATATGGTATGTTAATTGAGGCCAGTACAACTCTTGTTGCATATAGTACAACATCTGATTAAATTGCTTGTCTACCAGAACTGAGCCATCTCTTTTACCATGGTTGTACCACCCGGTTCCCTTCGCTACCACCGTAACAAGGACTAGGTCAAACATAAGGGTCGTCCTTGATTGATTTGAGTTTGGATACAAAGGTCAAAAGTATCGGGAGGTCCCAGGTTCAAATCCAAAGGGAAATAAAAATCCTCTTATGGTCGTCCTGAAATTAATCGGCTTACATAACGGATTGGATATCCAGACTAACTAAAAAAAAACAAGGCCTGGGTCAGAAGGAGGTATGAAATGTGACAGATGCGAGTGAAAAGAGGGACCAAAACCATAATCTTAAAACAAGATGGACGAAAATAGTAATTTTTAACAAACCACAAGTAATTTACTCTAAAACAAAAAGGGTTTTATTAGTAAGATCCACCGGATATATGGAGTTTACTAAACTACCCGTTAGCTTATTGATAAATTATTAAATATTCATGTCAAATTAAAACCCAGAATCCTTATCCAATTCTTTACCCCTTTATCTCACTTTCATCTGTTCATATTTTATAGGGTTTGCATACAAGTTTTTGTAGTTGTATGTTCGTTTACAAGGATAATTTTGTCTTTTCATAGGAAGAACTTGTATCTAAATATATTCGTGTATGTGTATATACATATACAAAGGATTGTCTGAGAATATTTGTTAAGGTGAGAAACGTAAGAAATGATCTAGACCTTTGATCACTTTTAATCTCACATACATCCCATGGATTCCGCTTATCACGAGAATTGATCTGGTACATCTCATTACTGTTGATCTTCAATTATGATTGATCCAATGGTAGAGATCATTTCTTACCCTTCTTACTATAACTTTTATTCTTACTTGAATCCGATTGTATGTAGGACTCATGATTAAAATTGTAGATATGGTTGTGCACATACAGGAGAAAGTAAAAGATTGTTACGAAATGATGATGAGGATGATGGAGGAATCATCGCATGCATGTTCCATTAACCCCAAAAAGCGAAAGCTCGAAGAAGATGACGACACCATGAATAGCGAACCAGCAGCTGCCATGGATGCCCATTTCGGATCATCATTGTCATCATCGTCGTCGTCATCATCCCGTCACCATCATCATCAACAACCTCCAAACAAGAAGATGCAACAGCAGAAGCTTGGTTTTGCTTCGATAAGTTGCATAGCATTCGTTGACGTGGCTTCTAGTCCTCGTTAATTGTATGTAACGGTCGTTCAAGTTTATTTATGAAGTAGGTTTTGCTTAAATTCGCATGAAATTGAGACTGCTCGACTTCATAAGCAAATTCACAATGAAGCATGAACGTAGTATTTTTACTGATTCATTATGTAAATACAAATTTATCGTTCCAAACTTTAATCCTTTGAATTATTTAAAAGAAATCGGTCCCCTGGGTCCGAGTGGTTTGAATAACGCACTACAACAAAATTGGGTTTATAGGACACCCCCAATCTCTAAGGGGTTGTTTATCAGTTGCTGAATAGTTTTGTGCAGAATCATTAAGTGGTCAGAATGATTAAGAGGCTCTCATGATATAGTGCAAAATGAAATATAATTGTTTGGTAATTGTTTACAATGAAATTAGGGCTCTTAATGGTTAAGAGAGGCCCATTATACAAAATCATTTAGAGAGTTTTAGAACCATTAAGAGGCAGATTTTTTTTGTCAAACACGATTTACCTCTTAACGATTCAAAGATTGTCTTTTAATGAAACTATTAAGAGGTAAACAAACAACTCCTAGGTGCCCCAATAGACCATTTGTTAGAACTTCATTTATAGAACCAAAATATAAAGCGTCCTATCTTAAGGTATTGTAATAAGTTTATATGACGCTTTTGGACGTCTTAACAAGTTTTTAGGACATTTTTAATACAAAGTGTCGCATTTGCAACTTTTTATAGGACATTTGTTTTTATAGTGCATTTTTTCAAATGATGTCCTATAAAGTTGCTAATGGGATACTTTATATTAAAAGTGTCTTAAAAAACTTATTACGACGTCAAAAAACGTCATATAAACTTATTACAACGCCTTTATATATGACGCTTTTGTTTTTTTGGTCTTACAAACTAAGTCTTATAAAGAGGTCTATTAAGACGCTTAAAAATTGAGAGTGTTCTATAAACACGATTTTATTGTAGTAACGGTAATGTTTGTTTCAAAAAAATAATAAATGATATACGACGGTTTTATTGACCAAATCAGAACAAATATATGACGACAATTATATGGTAATGAATAATAATAATAATATGTAAAAAGAAATAAAGAAAAATGTGAAATTTAATTGAGAGATGTTGGAAATGTCGTGAGGAAAATAAAGATTGAAATGTCACAATCAAAAAATAATGACGAGAGGTCAAAAGACAAAAGGGTTGGGACATTGAATTTGTGGGGACATAAAATCTTTAAACACCATCACAATTTATGTGCGAATTCTTGTTTTGTTTCGTCTCTAAATAAAAATTCACTGAGTCATACTTATTATTATTATTATTATTATTATTATTATTATTTCGTATATTGATTTAGAGCATTTTTAATAGTTATGTTATATTTTTCTTTTAAATTTAAAGATTTCAGCTTTTTTTTTCCTTCTATATTTCTTTATTTTAGAGGAAAGTTTAGCATAACTTTATTTTTGCCAAAAGAAGCTGACGCTTATTGAGCTTGAATGACCATTTTGTTTCATTTGAGGAAAATTATAACAATCCTCGAAGGATCTCGTTTCACAGTATCCCATACGGGTTCAGTCAACGTGTTCGACGGTGACCCAAAACCAGCCATGCCGGACTGTTAGCATTAGCATTACGGTTGAGGTTAGAAGGCGGTGGAGGTGCGGTAGGGATAGATGCTGGTTTCTGAGGAAGGTTGGATGGGATGAAGGGGGAAGAAGATATGGGAATGGATGCGCGCGTTAGAGATGGTGGACGGCCGGGGAGGACAGTATAGCAAGACCCGATTGGACGTTGTAGTTCATGAGGTTTTCGATCTCATCGATGTCAGATTAGGAGGGTTGGTTGAGGGGGACGGTGTCTCGTTCGGCGTACGATATCTTATTTCTGGAAACTGTGGTGGCGATTGGGCAGATCTGAGGGAAATGACGATGGCGATTCAAATCCTTATCTGGGAAGGTGGACTCCTTTTTACTTGAGACAAACATGTGAAATTACAAAAAATATCCAACTGTGGATTGAGATGGGAGATGGTAAAGAACAAAAATGTAACTTATTAATGGAGAAAAAGAAACCATGAAGAAGAAGGAAAAACGTAAAGGTGGAAGATTGAAGGTTTTGCTTTGAAAAAAAAATGAAAAAATGAAAAAAAAAAAAGGAAGGTAGGAAAGCTCTTTTGAGGTGATGACACGTCAGCGGTCCATGTTTATGCTTTATATATATATATATATATATATATATATATAGGGTTGGGTTCACGTGAGACCAAGGGTTTTTCGTGAGACCCGTAAGACCAATTTATGTTCATTGATTAAATTTATGAATTAATGATCTAATGGTTGCAAAGTTGCAATGTGGCAATTTCGTAATTAGTGAGAAGTCTCATGGTGTTTATAAATGTTCAGATCTGACGATTGTAAATCTAATCCAAGGGTTGAGAATTGGTCTTACGGGTCTCACGAAAAACCATTGGTCTCACATGATCCCAAGTCTATATATATATATATATATATATATATATATATATATATATTATTTTGTTAGTTTTTTATATAATTTTTCTGAATTATGTAAACACGCGATAGGAGGTTATTGTGTTAAACATGTTCTGGGTTTTTGGACCCGAACATCGTGGAGTTTTGTACTAAGGTCCTTACACTATGTTTATTTTGAACTTGGTCCCATAGAATTCAATGTGTCATTGACTTGTTCCATCTAACTAACTGTCAGCAAAAAACTATGTTAACTCGATTTATGTGGCATTTTGGTCTTTTTACACAATTTTCTTTTGTATTTTTCCCCTTACAAAGTTACACATACACACACATATGTATGTATGTATGTATGTGTGTATATATATATATATATATATATATATCAAGGTTCAAAATAGTGTGAGGCGTAATGTGGTGGCAAGCTCAAGTTTAAGCCTTACACGCGACGTCGAGAAGTCAGTGCTCTTTAAGCCGTACATGAGACGATAAATTTGTATGTCATAACTCACACACAAAGAGAGAGAGAGAGAGAGAGATTTTCGTTGTGAAATGGGGGTCAAACGTGAACATGTCACGTATCACAGACATTCATAAGATATTAATCATGAATGTTGTAAAAAAATTCATGTCTACTATTCATGATGATTGTAGACAAATGGAGAAACGTGTCGTGCCCTCATTTGTTCCTCGAAAGTTAAGTTCACACTGGAAGTTAGATTCAATACTTAACTTACCCCCATCTCTCTCTCTCTCTCTCTCTCTCTCTATATATATATATATATATATACACACACACACACACACATTGATACCGACACACACAAAAATATACATAAGAAGCCCGATAGAGATTCAGAGTTAGGACTATTGGCACTAACCACTTCCCACCCTATCACCTCCAACGTCTTTGTCTTCCTTGTCTCCAGCACCGACCACTATCTCCTTCCCCTTACCGTGACCCCTTTCTTGCCATAACACCGCACACAACACGTTACAGAGTGTGAGAGAGATGGGATATTGAAGTGCAGAGATGGACCTACTAAGGACCTGGCAAGGTCCTATGCACCCGCTTACTTGATTACTGTAAAGGAAAAAAAATGTAGGCGTCTTAAAGGAGCACTTACTTGATTTTGCGGATCCAAAAGTTATAACATAAATATGCAGTTGGAGGGAAGGCTTTTGTTGGCCGTACCAAATCTCCTCATGGAGGAGGTATGGGATTCGATCCTAACCTGTTACACTTTTACTTTGGTTAACACTTGATTTGATTATTGTTACTCGAAATTCTAGATGCTTAGGAAGCGAAATAAGATGCACAGTTAATTTTGATTTACAAAACAGTCTATTTTATACTAGGAGTTCTAGATGCATAAGGAAACGAAATTGAAAACCTACAAAAACAGAGAACAACAAATATCAAATACTAAAAAATGGAAAATGGAAAATTTTATAAAATCAACCAAAAATACAAAAAAGTTTCCTGTAACTATGGTGACAATTGCTTAATAACCGGACCATATTTAGGGGTCGTTTATCAAACACTTACCCGGTAAGTGCTTACCGGTAAAATTTAACATTATTATGTACTTACCAAGTAAGATTTTAGTCCACCAAAACGACATAGTATACAACAATTTACCTGGTAAGCGCTTACCATAGTAAGAGTCGTCGTCTTCACTTACCGGGTAAGACTCTTGATCCTTGTCTCACTCTTACCGGGTAATATTCTTGGTCCATACTATATTCATCCAGTGAGGTAATGTTACTTGGTAAGCATTTACCAGGGTAAGCGTTTGGTAAACGGCCCCTTAATGGATGATAGAATAAAACTTATTAGGAGTTGTTTTTGAATAATATTTAAGGATTCAAATTCAATAAACAATTTTCTTATTTTGTTAGCTATGAACACAGTTGGCGGGTCAAACAATTTCTCTGAGCATGTACATCTTTTAGGCGGGTCTATAAAATTGGGATTGATAACGGTGAAAGTCAATGTGGTTTGACCATTGAAGAGTCAATTGTATCATTTGGAATATAAAATACAGTTCTTTAAGATGAAATTAATTTATATGATGTTTGAAAATGAGATAAAAATCGACGATTTTTAAGATAAATTGGCATTAAAAAGGGAAAAAATTATGAAAAAAATAATAATAACCGAAATGGGAGAAAATTTAACAAAAATTCATTTTGACATAATAGTAGTAATGTCTATAATTATATTTGAGGCTGTAGATTCGATCCTTATTACTATATTGTCGTCACTATTTTATAAAAATGACATTTTAGGGCTTGAGTTAATTCATTGGGCCCTCTGGAGTCTAAAATTAAAAGATAAAAAGTTACCCATGACTAGGGGTGTTCATGGTTGAAGACATTTAAACAATCAAATTCAATGTTTGCGGTTTGAAAAATCTTAACCCAATCCAAACCAAACCAAAGTGCAAACCAACCCAACTCAAACCATACGGGTTGGTCGGGTTAGTTGGGTTGGTTGGGTTGGTCGGGTTGATACTTTGGCACATTAAGATATTCTTCTAACCTTGAATATGTTATTTCTTTACTCATAATTTCTTTTTCATCATCAACCATTTGATACAACTTATCCATACTTCTTACGTATATCACATTCAGTTAATTTT